TTATGGGAAATTCCTATCTCTGCACATGTTTGATGAATGCTCATATATACTTGGTTTAAAAAAAAAATATATATATATATATATTATTTATATGTATATAAGGTGTTATACTTTGTTTACATTGATTTTTAGGGAATTACATTTGGTACAAAATAATGTAAATCTGTTGGAAAAATGGTTAACTATTTAAAAGAAAAAATAAATACAGCCTTTTGTATATTTTTACAATTAACAATATTAATCATTAGTTATACATTAAGTCCGTTTGGTTGGATGGATTGTGCATGTTATGGCACCATTCATATTCATCCTATTAGCGAGTTTGGTTCCTATATGTATATTTTGTCGATGTTCCAATAAATAAGCCCTTGAAATAAGTCATGACTCGATAAACTATTAAGATCTTTCAGTATTAAGTATCCAACCTATGGGGTGAGATGTGCTGTTAAATTAAACGAGCTTAGCTCGGCTCGGCTTGAGCTTGACTCGAATTCGAGGCCTTAACGAGCCAGACTCGAGCTTGATATTTGGCTCGTTTATTTAATGAGAGCTCGAACACCTTAAGCTCGATCTCGGCTCTGCTCGTTTATAGCCCTATGTGTAATCCATCACTGTTTTGATTTTAAATTTTACATAAATGTCTCACCTTTCTTCCCCAATTTCCTCTCCGTCTAGCTCACCTCGGCTGAATCGAGGGTTTTCGAGTTTCACGAACAATGAAAATCACGTTGGGGTTGAGGTCAATATCCTCGTCTCTGTGCGTGCTCACGAGGCGGGCCACTATGTCTGTGAAGAAATCTAAATTTTGCAGTGAACAATATATGAAATTTTAATTCAAAATGAAGGGCAAAAATAAATTTCAATTTAAAAGTTATAACTATCAACAATCAACCAAACAAACAAGGTAATGTACTAGTTGAATTGATGGATATACCTTTAATAAAATAAAAAGATTATATCAAAGCCTAATTAGTTTATACAAATGTTTGATAAAATAATAATCTAGCCTATAGCTTATAAGTAATTTTCGAGCTTATGTCTATGTTTGGTAAAACTAGCTGATAAGCTAGCTGATCTGTAATTTTCGAGCTTATAACTTATGACTTATAGCTGAAAAACTAACTTATATGATACAAAAAAGTGTTTGGTAAAATTAGCTGATAAATTAGGTGGAATAAAAAATTGAACTATTTGAAAAAAAAAAAGATAAAAAATTGAACTAGCTTAATAAGCTCGAACTTTTTTAAAAGGCTCATCCGACCAGGCTAATTTGAATATAGGGACTAAGGAGCTTATAAACAAACCAAAATTATTTGTCAACCAAACATAATTATCATTTAGCTCGACGATTCTAACCGGTCCGTAACTCCGTATACCAAATTTCAAGCATAAACCTCCATTCCGTCGCCATCCACGGCGTGCTGCATACAGAACCATCTCCACTCTGCAACTCCTCAAATCTTCGCTAAATTTTCTAGTCTTTAATGGCGAGAGTTCTTGCACAGGTACACTCTCTCGCTCGCCCGCTCGCTCTCCCTCAGTTGCAATTTTTCCGTACTTGTTCCCTGCAATTTTTTCGTGCTTCTGATATTTGTTTTCAATTATTACATCCTTTCTCCAAGTCCCGGCGTCGGATTCTACCACTCGCAGCGCCTTCCCGTTGGTGGGTTGAGCAACCCTTGGAGCCTTCTACATGGACGCTGAAATTGGTACTCACTCATCTCTTAATGTTGCCTGTTTTGTAGACCTGGAAAATGCAAAAAAAAGCATGTATGCGAGTGTGTTAATCTTTCGAAGTTACGACTGAATTTTTTCAATTTTCGGCATGAATGTGTACATTTTACTCTACAATCTATCAGTGATTGAAAAGTGACAAGCACTGGATTACTTTTACAGCTCGAGTTTAATCGAAGTAGTGTCCGAAGCTCCAATCTTGTTAGTGTCATAGTGGCGTTCGGAATGATGTCATATACACCAAAATAGATAACAGCAGACAATTTGAAAAGAGGCTTAAAAGTTTGAGTTACCTATAAATGGAGCATGCAGAAACTCCTCGGTTGTGTACCACAGGGAAAGCATGTTTCTATGTTATGCGTTTTGTGACAAGTGATGCTTAAATTAATTATTGTAGCCACCGATAATTCAACCATCAAGGAACTCGATTTTCTTCGCTTTTCAACTAAAATAGCGCGTAGGGAACTTGTACGGTTTGGACTGGTGTGGTTCCACAGGATAGTTGATTAAACCGTCTATAGAAAAATGGAAACAAAGAAGAAGGAACTAATACCCTGTGAAAATAATCTTGTCACAGTCCATTCAGATTCTTAATTTTTCATCCACTTTTCTTAGTCCAGGCAGATTTGTTTAGGATATCCATAGGATGACCGTTTTGAACCAAGCTCATCCATACAAACTTCTATTTAAAAAGAGAACATTCAGTATAGGCAGTTCTGAACAGGTTTATTCTGGAGTTTGTCCCTGGTGGTCGAGTTTGTAGCTTTTCTTGTTTATTGTTTCACTTTTACCTGAATATGCATATTCAGGTGAAAGTTTATATTCCGCGTATACTTTTACCTGAATATGCATATTCAGGTGAAAGTTTATATTCTGTGTATATCTCGTGAATACTCGGTGTGTATTCTGGATACTTTAGTATATATTTCCTAGCTACTTCCTACCTACTCCTTTTACAAAGAAAACACATATTTCTTTATGTGTGATCAGCATTTCAGATATGTTTGTTATTTCCTTTTGAATGTAACAGTCCTTTGTTGTTTTTAGGACGCCCAGTCACCAAACATCAGCGGCATCAGGTTGCTTAGTATGCAAGCAAATTCTCCTGCTCAAGCCCGACCAATGGTATGTTTCATTCTCCAAATTGTTGTGTTAGTTTGAGAGGTGAACTTTTAGTGTATAAGCATTTCCATCTGAAACTGACACTGTACTCAGTAAATTTATAACCAAATTGTCTAAAACAACAACAACATACCCAGTATATTCCCAACTGGTTGGGGTTGGGGTCTGGGGTCAGTTGTACGCAAACCTTACTCTTGTAATTATACAAGGAAGCTGTTTCCGTAGCGACTCAAGGTGCATTGCGTCGTTTGATATATTTTTTTTTGCTAGAAACTTCCCTAATAGAAGAAGCACTAGAATTTAATTGAGTCATTTTGATCTAGTCCATTATTAGCACTATGCCAGGAGAATTGTCAACAATGACTCTTCCAACTCCATTTGCAATGGACAAAACCAAATTGTCTAAAACTGTACAATTATATTTTCAGAACCATTTTTTATGTTCTCTTAATAATAACCCCATTTTTTCTCATATCAATCACTTCAAAGTCCTAATTAAGGAAACGATTTATCGTGTGACCTAAAAGCTAGAAACCTGTTATATAGGTTTCCTGATTTGACTTTGGTTTGATTCAGAAACTTATCAGAGTATATTTCTCGGTCTAAGATGACCAAATATTTGGGAAATGTGGTTGTGGAATTTGAGGTGCACTTTGGAATCATACAGATAGACATATGGTGAGCTATTTACTTTCCTAGGGTTTTAAAAGAAAGGCTTTCTTCTTTCACAACAGTTATCTAGAAGAGTGATGCTGTATAAATTATAATAGATAAAGTACTCGTAAAAGTCTAGAAATCCTAATCTGTGCTATGATCAGAATTTTGAAAGAAAATCATATAGGGAAACTTCTGACATGTTCTCTTACTCTGGTTTTCATATTTTAGTGTTCATCTGGAAATATCGGTCGTAGCCAATTAACATGCTTAAATGATGGCAACATTTGCTGATATTTAACTTCATATCAATTTTTTGAATATATTATGTGTGAGCTTGGATAATTGTCTGTCTATGACATAGAGGATACACAATAAAATGAATATTTTCCTGAGTGCATGCAGGGTTCTATGAAAGTGTCCATGACAAGTCCAGGGTTTGTATACGATCCATATTCACCACGTGAACCAATCTCATTCTTGTCTAGGTGAGTAGGATTGCTAGTGCTATGATTATGTTGTAGCACATTTAGTTGGATAAGAAGTTAAGTACTACGGCAGTACTGTGGATTCTGATCAAGCTACATCATTGACTTGTGAAATCTTAGTTCATGCCTGTAGAATATACTACTCGTTCTGAGCTGTCAAGCTGTTCCTTATGATATTTTATTATTTTATTGGATCCTCAAGGATATTGTTTGTTATAGTTATTGAATTTGCATGATAAGGAAACATATTTATTATGTTGTTTTATCTGTTGTGTTAAAGGTTAAAAGGACCATTTGCCAGATAGATAATTGTGGGGATTTGGTGCCATGGTTCTTGTTTTGTGGTTCGGTTGGACTGTTGAAGTTAAAAGTCGCCAATGGTCTAAATTTGCACACAAACTTGCCAGAGCTAAACTATGTAACATGCTTTGCAGTCCACATAATGCAGTCAAGTCTGCTGAAATACTGTTCAGGCTTGATCTAGATAGTCAGTTTAGTGCTCTTCAACAGAATTCTAACAAGTATTCACAAGCATTTGTGAATTAAAGCTTCCTGAAAAATAGACTTCTGACTGTTTGGACTAGCCACCTCTTTTCTTGTATATGTTTGCATTAGAGAAAAACTGGTACAGAATGACGTCTAAGTTATCTTATTTGATCCAGATACTTTATATGGCTGCTTGGCACTTCATCAGTAGTTAGTTAATGGGAAAGATAATGATGGAAATAGGAGTACATTGTTTATGATAAAATTGTTTTTATCTAACGAATTTGTGTGCATGCACTATACATTTTTTCCCTGGGACTAACTTTTGGCAGTCTTGGCTGTTTCTGATTAATTATGCTCCAGATGGTTCACTAGATCGGGTTGGAAGAGATTGAAAGAAGATATTATTCTAGAGGTACTTCAAATACACCTGTTTGTTTATGCTCATGGGTTGAAATGACTAGTTATTTGCAGTGATGTCAACTGCATTTTGTTGTTTAGCTTTGTTGGCTGCTTATAAGAATTAGGGTTAAGGAAATTTCAAAAATCTTATTCACATTGTAGGTATTAAGCCCGTGGATGCTGTGGATATCTCTAATGTCATTTTAATTTTGTGGAAAATTATTTTAATTTTGTGGAAAATTATTGACATTTTTGTCGCTAACAACAAAATTTTGAGAGCACTGTTTAATATTCATGTGGAAACCTCTGTTTTCAGTTCTAATCAACAAAGTAGGAAAAAACCTTATGTTGTTTGTTGGTGTAGGTAAAGGTTATGGATTATACTCCTTAGTTGCTGGTGATGTTGGATAATGTGGAGCTAGGAAATGAAATTGATGATGACAGTGGTAACAATGTAGGTCTTTTGGAAGCATTAGTAGATTGAATTTTAACGAAGTGCATGCTTTTGTTTTGCTTTCTTCATTAAACAATTGTTTGTCACTCCCATAATGATTATTCACTATGCAAGGAACTACAGATGTTTGTTTACTCTTAGAATGTTAAGTTTCTGATGCTATGACTTTATTTCCAGCTAAAAAGTGCTTATGCAATTGCAAAATTAAGGAGATCTGGGTATTCAAAGAAGAAGTTCTATGAAGAAGCTGCTGAGTTATACAAAGAGGTCCTCTCTTTCCACTCTGAACATGGGACATAACAACTCGCGATCTTCTTCGTTTCCTCTTCTCAATTTATTCTCTTTGTATTTGTTCAGATTAACACCCAAATAGCCGATGGAGACAAAGGAATATTGAGAAAGTCAGTAACAGAGAACATGTATTCTGTAGGTTTTTACCTGCGCTAGTACTTCCTGTTGCTGCAATGTTAAATCTATTTCAGAAGTTGTAGCCTAGCTGTATGCAGCATAGTTTTGCTCTTCGAAGTTAAATTGTAATAAAAACTTATCCTTTTAGTCATACTCGCACTTTGCTGATTTGATTTTTTAAACAGGCTCTCAAGAACGAAATCAAGCAAAGGGAGAAAGTTTGGAGTCATGTCTACTGGGAACTAGTGATGCCAATTGTCAAAATACGAACTCTGCGAGCTCGATTGGCAAGTATCTCTAATAGATGAAGAAGATAATGTTCTTTGATATCTTGTGGTTTTTTTCTTTTGTATGATAACATATTTCAAAGAGCCGCAATTCTGGTGTCTCACTCGGTGCATCTTGCTGGTATAAGTACTCTTATGCCGGCTTCTCATGAGGACCTTTGCGAATGTTCACTGGGTTATGTTTATTGCTTTATACATCTTCCTCTCGCTTTTCCCACCCTTTTCTTATATTGCTACCGGTGGGGAAGGAATCAACGGCATCGAATTTGTCTTCACTTTTCATATTTATTTTTGCTATTAGCTATTCCCCCTTTACACTTGTATTACTTTTGTTACACATCTCTGGTGATGTGAGGTGAGGAATGGGTACTGAATTTTCCTTGGGTATTAGTCTATGGGTACTGAATATATCAAACGACGCAACGCACCTTGGGTCGTTATGGAAACAGCCTCCTTGTATAATTAGAAGGGTAAGGTCTGCGTACAACTGACCCCCCAGACCCCAACCTGTTGGGAATATACTGGGTATGTTGATGTTGATGTTGATGATGTATTAGTCTATGGCGGGAATGACTGCTGTCAAATTATTCATTTTCTTATAGCTTTTTTGGAAGAAAAGGTTGAGGGCTGATACCGTATTCACCAATACCTTCTATATTCTAATTTGACAGAAGTTAGTGGATCTGTCTAAGCCCCTCAATTGAGGTTCTTTTTATTCCAGCTATTTACTAATGTTCATGTAACTGCCTGAACTTATTCGTGACTTCTGGACATATGGGTTGCAGGCATTAACTTATTGTTATCCTATCACAATATATTCAAGAAATCACCATCTTTTGCAGATTGGCGTAGATCGAAACGACCTCAATAAAGTGTTTGTCCAACTTACTCTTGAATTTCTTAGTAAACAGGTAAGGTTTCGACTTTGGCATTGGAAATTCTTTATTTGTACATCCGTTTATACTGGTGATTTGCTTGTGTAATTCTAGCTAATTCTCACTGAGAAAGTGATAGAATATATCTCACCTCCTGCATATATATGTTCAATTTCCATTTCCCAACATCTTTAAATCATTATCAGTCATTTCCTACTCTTTTTGGGAAGGCAAGTTAACCTGAAGCAACAACTCTTAATGAGGCTCACTATTTCCACCATTATCTACACAAAAGTATTAATATTTGTAAATTCTGTCTATCTACCCATTTATGTAATAAGTACCACCACCTGCCATTTAGTTGATGTTATATTATATATTCAAATTAAAATTGTATAAGTGGACCTCCTCACTAATTTCTTCAAAAGTAAACACTTGGAAGAATGCTTATAGAACCCTTTTCTTATGGTGTATATGGTCCATATAGCCTCGAGTTTGATAAGCTTCAAATTTGAAAAGAGAATAATACCTGTTCAGTGACATGTGTCTCAATCTAACTTCATTCATTCAACCATTTTAATCACGTGTGATGCGCCTATCAATGTTTAAGTGTCGATATCTCCAACTTCTTGACCAACCTAATACTGGCACACTGATGCAGCTCCTCCAATTGATAATCAAGCTGTATGCATCCTTGGTAAAACACCTACTACGAAGTTGTAATTTCGTTATCCTACCATAATCCTTTGTGTGCTAGGTGAAATTAGTACTCGCCATGAGCATCTCCATCCTCCTTGTGAGCTCTAGGATTCAGAACATTTGTTAATAGACACGGTTATAATGATTGTTAGATGACATCCAAGTATACACAAAATGCTCTCCACCTTCTCCTTTTAGCAATCAATAATCATCCCACCTATCCCAGATTATTGTGCAATCCAAATATTCTATGGTGGTTAACTCAACTAATTTAGTTAGTGGAATAAATGGATATATTTCTCAACTCATATGCTCGCATGCTTCATCATATCAACTTTTCCTTATAAAGATCTGAAATCATTTATTGTGGCATACTTTATCTCCTTTGTTTCCTCGTCTCTCTGCTATGACAAAATTTTTCTTTCCCTCATTGTTAGGCATAACAATTCTCTTCTTAATAAACCACAACATGGATGTCCATCCTCATCATGATGACCACTTGTTTGTTTATATATGACATGACACACGAGATGATTATTGAATGAAAAAATTAAGTGCATGTATTCCCATGTAAGTACTCCTTAAATTAGGTGAAATGGTTCTCATATGGGGCAGAGAAACAGACATGTGGAATTTTCTTTCCCATGGTTTATGACACAGAGAGAGAGAGAGAGAGATGCTTGTAGGACTAAGATCTCCTTTCCTCTCTTTTTTTTTTCTCTTTTATTTTGCTCCATCTCTTGCCTGCCTGATGTTTGGATATTATGCGATGTCCTTTACTATAATTGTGTGGTTCACTTGTCAAAAGTTCCCTCATCTGCATTAGTATATCAGTCATCCCGTTGTTTGGATCTGCTTTGGAGCTCATTGTACATTATTTTTCTTTATTTTCTCCTATTTATTTTCTATTTAATATCTTGACAGAAGTTTGAGGCTTATGACTCCAGTGGAGCTGTTGTTGCTGGTGATAAAAACAAGGAGGTAGGTTATAATACTTTGCTTGTAATTGGTGTTCTTGCTCAGTCTCTGTTCAATTGGTACCCAGACCTTGATACTATGCTAAGAAAAACCGCACGAACTATGACGGGGAAAGAAAACCTGATCCACATTATATCTCAAAAAATATAGAGGAGATTACACTTGAAGTCATCCAAACTATATGCATTTTTTGCACATTACCAGTCGGACTAATATAAGTTAATTTTTGGCCATTTGAACTTATATTTTTTTTTACTTGCACATTTTTGAATTATTTAAGTTCATATATTTTAAGATATTAGATTGTATTTGAGAAGAAACTAGTTCATACCCAGCAAATTTCAAACAAACTGTCGGAAGTTAGGTGTATCCCACATGATTAATTACTGGGTGGTTATTTTGTATAAGTGTGGGTTGGGGGCACCCTCTCCAGCTCTCCCCTTGAGCTAGCTTTCGGAGATGGTTCTACCCAGTCCATTTAACACAAAGAAACAGGTACTAATAAAAGTTTGAAGTAAAGAATTTTACAAGTTTATATATATACTTCTAGTGTATATAATGGACATGATTGTTCACTAGTACTTTCCAAAATTTATTTCTACTATGCTTTGAAGTATAGATACTTTGGTGGGTATATTTGTGTTCTTCGCATCAAATATTATTTCTTTATATTTATATAAAAGCTTGATAAAGAAAATCTCGAGGTAGAGTTCTTACGAACCATCTGAGAGAAGAAGTAAATATATAACTCTCAGTTGCAACTGAATTTATGGAGAAAAGACTGCAATGGAAGATAGAAGAGGAGATTAAAATATCTGAAATTAAATGTGTTATTCTTTTACTATCCTAGTTGCAATGGTAGGTAGAAAAATAATCACATGAAAAGCACAAGGTCAAATAATTTAACATGCACATTGCACGTGAAATTTCAGCAGTGCATTCCATTGGCACCCTTTCCTGCATCATAAGTGTAAAACCGTTGAAGATATAACGAAAATAACAGTGCCCAAAACTAGATTCGGTCCTGGTTGGCTTCTTAAGCCTTAAGTCTTTATTTAGCATGGTAAACATCTCTGCAAATGTTTGCTGCTGATTAAGTTACAAGTCTTCATGGAGCTGAAGAATCTATATAAGGAAAATATTTATCCGATAGTCTATTGCTTCTGGTTATCTATTTGATTACTTAACATTTGCATATTTTTAATGTGTGGATTTCTTATTCTTAAGGAAAACTAACAAAAACTGTTATGATGCAATCTTTGCTTTGGCTAGATTTTGGAATCATATCCTTTCAGCAACCGAGCATTTCAAGTTTTTGACTGGGAATCACACTTTAAATTAAATTAGAAACTCCATGCCCTATAAATGTATATCTGTATTATTTGTGATGGTGTAAAAAGACATTCCATTGTTGGCCCAGGTTCTCGTACGTGATATATGGGTCTTTGAGAAATCGCTTTTCCACCAAGGAGCGTTCTGGCGTCTTTGTGGAAGAATCAAAGTTTAGCTGTGATATATTTTGCCGAACGGGACATATGCTTCCCAATTTTGTTTCTTATGACGCCTATGTTTTTTATCGTTGACCAATAATCTTCCATGTTCTTGGTACGTATTGGTCAACATCTCGATTTTCTCCCTTTTCACCATAACCATCTTTTTTTTTTCTACAATCGACTCTTTCAGAACTGTTCGGGAACTCAGTTCTTCAGTCACATGCAAGGTGATATCTTGAGTTGAACAAAATGATTTATCTATTTTTGTATTTTTTCTATGTTTTCTGTGTTACTTCAACAGCTCCATAGCGCCATGCAACTCTGAGATTGTTCAGAATGTGCTCAACTCAAGCAAAGAGGATGACATGATTTTATTATTTAATCCAAATTGTGCTCAAATTAAAAGTTTGAATGTTATATACTTTTAAGCACAGATTAGTTACAGATTGAAGAGAGGGGAAAGTAAAACACCGTGAATTGGCCACGATCAATGAGTCTTTTCCCTCTAATTGCAATTCAATTTGGTTTTCGTGAGAAAGCTGAAGGACATTATCAACTCCTTTTATGCAGCTCGAAAATCTGCATTGAAAAATCACGAGGATGACTTGAATTGTTCGCTTGATTCCTTTTCTTTCTCATACATATATTGATCGATTGATCGATACATACCTGGTATATACCTTTTTTTTTCTTGCCATTTTTCCTACACGATGTGAATATTTAAAAAGTTTTTAAAAGTCACAATTGAATACATTCTCTTTAATTTCAACTGGAAATCCTATAATAATCAAAATGATTTTTTATGGCACATCTTGTTTATAAGCAAAGTTTTCTGTACTACTTTCAATCTGCAAACCAAGCAAAGCTCACTTCTCAGTGCATTTCTATTACATTATGAACACATTTCAATTCATCAAATCAGTCCTGTCTATACTCTATGGGGGTGTTTGTTTATAAATTTTTTTAACTCATATTCAAAATTTAACTCAATTTTAATTCAACAACACTGTCTTTAATATTATCAATATAATTAAATAATATCAATCAATCGTTCTTACCTATCACATCAAATTTAATTCATTATTTATCTATTCAAATAATTTTAATTAATCATTACTTCACATCATCTCTCTCCTATTTTTACGTCAAATCAATTTTAATTATTTTTTAAGTATTATTTTAATATAAATTCAAAAATTTCAGTAATAATTAAGCATACTATATTTTTTAAAATTAACCTTGGTTAATAAAAAAATTTGTTTTGAGTGGATATATTTTTATTCAAGCTAAATTATTTTCGTGAAAAACTATGTTTGTATAACTATCATTTAAAAAAAATTGTTCCTTTTTTTTACTCTCTTCATTCTTATTAGCACAGTTAAAATAATACAAAAATAATATCTTTCTTTCTTGAAATGTTTATTTATTTATTTAATTCTAACCGAAATAATTTAAACCAATAGCCCCTAAATAACACAGATGCACAGTGCGAGTTTGTGTGTGTGTGTTTTCTTTATCTTTTTTTTTTGGAATATGAGCGTTCTCCTGCGAAGAGTCTGTGGACGATACTCTTCTTCTCAAGCTCGTTGTGTATTGGCAAAAAGGTCGTATAAATCTGTGAAGCTCGTTGGGCAATGCCCTGATGACGTCATCCCCCCGTCACTCATCCATGGCGTCCATGTCTTCCACTGCCCAGTAAGCCCACAATAACCCCTTCACCACAAACCACACAGACATACGAATATTGAATGAATTTGGTTTTGCCGTATATTACCTTTGTTAGAAGTACTGAAGTTCAAAAAAAATCAAAAAAATAAGAATTTTTTGTGGTGGGGTGTATAGTGTTTATGAGGGCGATGCAGAAAAGAGAGATTTTATTAAGGGTTTTTGGTTTTGTGTATAGCCATGGTTAAGTAGCAATTCTGAAGAAATTATCATCCCTGTAAGCATTGAAATGTTATTTGATATCATCAATATTGATTAGGTGGATGGTATGCAAAACTTGACGTTTTGGGTTTTTGTTGCATAATCAGGATGAAGTGGGGATTGTCGCCAAATTATCTGAATGCATAGCTTCAAGGGGCGGCAACATTCTCAATGCCGACATTTTTGTGCCTGAAAAAGAGAATGTCTTTTACTCCAGAAGGTCTTTTCCTTTATGTTTGTTTCTAGCATTTCGTTTTTTTTTTTACTCTGGTGCATTATGATGTGCTTGAGGTTTAATTTGAACTCTGTTACTAGCCTTGAACCTTTGACCGGACTTCTATTCTTGCGCTGATGTTTGTTACATTAAGATAATAACAGTTTGTTTAATGTGAAGAAACGATACATGATTACCTTCAGTTTCTGTTTGGCTGAGGTATATATCAGATGTTGAGTTTATGAGCCTTTTAGTAACGAATGATACTCAAGCCTCAAATGTGTACGTAGTAACTAAAAAAGAATAAAAAGTTTGTTTTACCATTTGAATGTGGAAAAGAAAGAAAACTCTCGATTCGTTTAAGTTCAGTTGCTGCCACTGTGCACATAGCTCACTTCATTTGGTTAAGTAGGGATGTATAGATGAGTTGTGTTATTACTAGATGTAGATATTTAAATGATTTGCTGTTATTTATTCAGATATTGTTTGTAAGAACGTTCATGAATTTATATGTCAAAAAAAAAAGGATATTTGCTAATTTGCTTTTAAGTTGCAGTGAGTTTCTTTTCGACCCTGCTAAATGGCCTCGGGAGCAAATGGATGAGGATTTCTTGAAGCTTTCAAAGATGTTCAATGCATATAGATCTGTTGTTCGAGTGCCCAATTTAGATCCTAAATACAAGATTGCAATCCTTGCTTCAAAGCAGGTGCACAGTCCAATGAATATTTGATGGCTAACTTAATGTGTATGAAAATGTTAGAACATAGTAATGTTGTTTGCTTCTTTATCAGGACCATTGCCTTGTCGATTTGCTGCATCGGTGGCAGGACGGAAAACTTCCGGTTAATGTCACAGCTGTGATAAGGTAAAATGGAGGATTTTCTTCAATTCATTTAACTTTATTTTATCTAGCTATTATTTAATATTTATGTAAAAAAAAGTTTAATACACATCGAACAGCAATCACGATAGAGCGCCAAACACCCATGTGATGCGTTTTCTCGAAAGGCACGGAATTGTGTACCACTATTTGGAAGCAAGAACTGAAGACAAAAGAGAAGGAGATATGTTGAATTTGGTCAAGGATACGGATTTCCTAGTTCTTGCTAGGTACATGCAGGTAAAGGGTATAAAGTGATAGTAACCGTGCAGCATGGCTATTCATTTTAATCTAAATACCATTGAGTTTTTTTATTTTATTTTATTTCTATTTTTATTTACGGTAGGCTCTTGAGGTGTTTTTACTTTTTAGTGCATTTAAAATGTTAACAGGTCTCTGATGTTATGAAAGACCATTGGAATTAGAGTACTTGTAACTGTCTCTCTCTCAAGTTAGTCTCGAAAAGAATAAGCGCAAGAAGAATTATCACAGATTTTTTTTTTTTACTCATCTTTTTAGTTACTTATTTTATGCTTTTTGTTGCTTATCTTGCCTGGAAAAGGTTCTCTTATCTCCATACTTCAAAACATCAGTTGATCGAACCGATTGCTGCAGATACTGTCCGGAAATTTTTTAAGAAGCTATGAGAAGGATGTTATAAATATTCATCATGGCTTGTTGCCGTCATTCAAGGGTGGGAACCCATCTAAGCAGGTACATGTTTTCTTGTTTTGGAATAGGGCTGCAAACGAATCGAATCGAGCCGAGTCGAGTCTGAGAGCCTTATCGAGCAAGATTGATTTTTTTTCTACCTGCTCTAGCTTGAGCTCGATTCATGACACTCGAGATTGACTCTCTAAAAGAAGACAATCAATCGAGCTCTGCTCGAGATCGATTGAATTCAAAATGCTCAAAAGATTGCTCGAGTTCGAAGTACATATATTTATTTATTGTAATATTTTTATATAAGGGTATTTTAGTAATTCATTACATATCTCGAGCCGCTCACGAGCGGCTCAACCTTCCAAAACCTATGCTTGAGATCGACTCGACAAAATGCTCGAGCCGCTCGAGCTCGGCTCGAGTTCGGTCAAACTCGAGCTCAAGCCGAGCTTTGACTCGAGCTCTCGGTTCGTTTCAGCCCTATAAAAGAAGACAATTGCTCGAGCTCAGCTCGAGATCGATTGAAATCAAAATGCTCGAAAGATTGCTCGAGTTCGACTCAAATTTCAAGTAAAATTACCATTAAGTACATATATTAAAATATTTTTAATATTTATATATAAGTGGTATTTTAGTAATTCACCACATATCTCGGCTCAACTTTCCAAAACCTATGCTTGAGATCGACTCGATAACATGCTCGAGCCGCTCGAGCTCGGCTCGAGTTCGGTCAAACTCGAGCTTGAGCCGAGCATTGACTCAAGTGGCTCGCGAGTTACAGGGTCTAATATCAAACATCTCTAACAGGCCTTTGATGCCGGTGTGAAATTGATTGGTGCAACAAGTCACTTCGTCACAGAAGAGCTCGATGAAGGCCCGATTATTGAGCAAATGGTAATCCACTTTCATGCTTTATATATATACTTCCCAAATCTAGCTCCAGTCGAGTATTAGTACTCAGAACATTTTAGCTAAATATTCAGGTTTAAGCTATTGCTTTGACATTTTCTCTCTTCATTAGATGTTGATGTTGTTAAAATTGCTGCTCAGTCCAGATAATAAAGATACCAACAAATTTTTAATTTATATCCTTCTTTTTTTTGGGAAAAAAGATAGTAAGATCAGCATGTCCAGTGCAATGCAGGATTACTCGACATGCTGTTCTGTTCTTTAGAATATGATGGATCGACCATGAATAATTTTAATCAACATTTTGTGTTTTGGAAGTTTATTTCATATTATGTAATCGTCAATTTGACCATATTTTATCTATATCCTTGCCCTCGAAAAAGCTACTACGTGCGAATATATTGTGTTGGCGACTACAACTTCCCTAAGTCACCCGAGCTTTAGCGTGTGCTATGGTTTTATCTTAATTATGTTAATGTGTTGCTCGTGAAAGTAGACTCAACATTTTTTTTTTTTTCAAAGTCTCATATTTATGTTGTCATAATTGCTTCAGGTGGAAAGTGTCTCTCACAGGGATAATTTACTGAGTTTTGTACAGAAATCTGAGAACTTAGAGAAGCAATGCCTAGCGAAAGCAATAAAGTCGTATTGTGAACTGCGAGTTTTGCCTTATGCGAAAAACAAAACCGTTGTATTTTGAGGCAAACGGCACGAGTGGATGTGCAAACACATGTATGTATACCCATTATTTTCCCATTACTTCAAATGAGAAGGATATCTACTGCAAAAACTCTCTTTTTAGCTCACACAATGAGAGTGGCCTGAAGTTCTGTTGGTATTATTAGCGCATAAATTTTTTCCAGAAAATTTGGTCTAAGAACGATTCTATAGTTTTTAGCTCATGTCTATTTGAATTCTCCCTTAAATTAAGTTCATGTGAATATGATTCTCTTCTCTTGTGAACCCTTTAAGGTAAGCAATCGTCCGGCCCGAATGACGACCAACTTAGCAGTATTTTTCTCTAGATATCAAAAGCTTCTCAACAAAATCATCGAAGTGGAAGGAAATATACAGCCAAATAGCCAATGTCAAGTGAGCTGTGAAGAAAAAAAAAAAAAAATAGGAGGAAAAAGAAAAATTCTTGCTTCTCGACATTTCGAGTTTCTAATACGACTTGTATCTTTTTAGACAGATACTTCGCAGAGAAAGTCTACTCTTGAACACGCCATCACTAAGATTGAGGTTGGTTTGAAGGTGATTAATCGCTCTATATATTCTGATGTGTAATGTGAAGAGAAACTTTCACTACGAGAAAACTCGTTTGACTACAAGTTATTTGAATTTGATGCTCTGAATAATTTTTTAACGTTCTTGGGAATAGCCATTGGTCACTAATGACTTCATAAACAATGCCTTGTAAAATTTGAACAAAAAAAAACAATTCTCAGAGGGAAAGATCCTAAAAGCCTTCATCATTTATGTGCTCGGAGACTTACATTTGTACGGATATAAAGAAATCGAACTGCTTTCTGAGTAGATCCTTACTCTTTGCAATTCCATTGTCTAACAAATGTATCTCGATGGAACAGATTGATTGCTTTTTTTCTTTGTCCGCATTGTCTGCAAAAAGCGATTATCTGTTCTTGCTTCAGTTTAATTGTCTGATTGACACAAGATATTAGTGATATGTTTTGACTAATTCATTTGAAATGAATGTATGTGATATGCTACTCTCGTTTGAAGTAGAATCTCCAAGATGGGATAACTAGACCTCAGCCCTAACCGGCCCGTGATCAACGGGCCTTAAATCGAGCTTGTAGTTTGACTAGGTCGGTTCCGGGCCACATATATATACTTTTTGAACAGTCAGGTTGGTTCCAAATCGGAACCGGCTGTACGACCCTTTTCTATTTTTATTTTTCATTTTCTTTTTTAATTAATTAATTTATATTTTTAGTGAACTGTGTCGGCCCGGAACCGTCGGTTCACCGAACCGGCCTATGCATATGTTCGGGCTGGTTCAGGCCCGTCCAACCCTTTGCCTGAAACCGATGGTTCCGCCCCGAAATTGGTTTTGTTCATGACATCATGTATAGATAACTTCTCATTTGGTCGAGCTCTTGGATGAGCCCAACTTGCTAACTTGTAACCCATCTGTACCTCAAGCTATCATACTGAACTCATTGATAGAATCGAACCGGATTGTCGAGCTATAAGTTCTCCTAGACTGGTTGACCCGAACTGACAGCTCTTAACAAGTTCGTCGAGCTGTTATGGGTCATGAAACGATTGAAATGGCTTTCGATTTGTGGGTAACGAATGATGACGAGCCGAGTCATTTGGTTCTTGGTGATCTGACCAAGCCTTTGGGGACGAGTCGAGTCATTTGGTGCTTGATGACGAGTCGAGCCATTTGGTTCTTGATGAATGATTGAAGTAATGTATCCCATCTAATGAAGCAAACAAGGCCGTAGAGTGTAAGTTGCCTTCAAATATTATATATATATAAACAATATATATATATATATATATATATATATTAAATAAATTAAATAGTTATTTATCTATATATATAATTACTAGCTAATCTCATTTAATAAAACATTTAGTAAAAACATTTTCACTTTCCCTCCAAAAGAAGTTACATTTTTTTAATTAATTACTCACTAATCCCACATTTAAGAAGGTTTCTTTTGGTTAAACCTAATTAGTTAATGGCTAAATTAAAAATGTTTCTTTTAGTTAATCCTATATTTATGTTTCTTATTCTCATTTATATATATAAACGTGGCAATCATTATTGTTGTGCAGAAACTATATATTGTTATTTTTTATTTCATTATGAATTGAATAAGCAATTAAAGTTATAAAAAATATTAATAAATGTTATAAATACAAACATTGTAATACAGATCATGTTACATTGCAATATAAAAAATGAAATTATTTTTTTTGTAATTTAATTTCTAGCCATACTTCATCAAACATATAGCTGCAAAATGATTAGAAAGATTAGTTTCATAATTAAAATAAAAATTTAGCTCCCCCAAATGGTAAAACCTTATAAATTAGTAGTATAGATACATTTAAATGACATATAATTTATAAAGTTAGACTACACGCATAATAAGATGAATTAAAAAAAATAATGAAGTAAATAAATAAATTAACTGTCTATATAATTATTATAACAAAGTCTATATTGTCAATATTATCATTTAAAAAGTTCAATGAAAAAACATATGTATAAAAAAAATCATATGATCATAATTAATAATAGTGCAAAATTAATTATGTTTGACTTTCCATTTGGTAGTAATAATAAAATATTTTATATTACTACTATTCAATAAAATGCATGATTTCTGCAGATTTGATTACTGCAATCAGCATTTTGTTTTATAAATTAAAAAGTGTGTTGAATAAATTGTCTCATATTTTTCATTAAAAAAACTATTGGCGGTGAAAGAAAATTTTATTTCACAATTATGAATATAAATATGATTAATTTTCATTAAACAATTCCTCTTTAAGAAAAAAGTGGCGGGACAAATTTCTGCATGATTATAGCATCAAAATATATCCAAAACAACAATATTTTAATGCATTAAAACCATACTTTCAACATCATAAAAGTCATATTAAACGGAAATTGGCAAAGTCAAAGAATGAGGATTGACAAGGCATGGTATGTAATGGTAAATTGTTGTATAATATAGAAATATCAAGCATAATTAATAATGAACAAAAAAAGTCAAATCTATATGAAAAAAAAAAAATAAAAATAAAAAACACAACAAATTATGTGGAGTTCCACATAGACACTATACAATATAGAAAGAAAAATAATTTGATTTCCCTATCATTATCAACACATTCAACTTTTACCAAGACATCTACCTTTATATTAAAATCGATTTTTTTGCGTAAAAGTTTTAAAAATAAAAATTTCTACAGATTCTTTTAAACATTAAACAAGAAATTCCTAATATGCGATAAATATATCTATTCATATTTGTTATAAACTTACCTAATATTTCTAAATTTTGAACAAAATACTAAAAACTTTGAAAAACTTCGGCAAAAGACTTTGAACAACTTCGAAAAGCGATTTTGAACAAGTGTTAGCAAAGCTTCACTTACTGATATGATGAGAAAGACGAGAAAGAATTGAACTATTTAGAGTTCAAAATCTGAACAAAATACATAAAAGTTACATGTGTATGTTATAAACAGATATGTTATAAACTTACCTATATATTTGTTAGTAGAGCTGAACAGATCTGTTAGAAACTTACCTATTTTTCAAACCCTGAACAAAATACATAAAAGTTTTAAAATGTTCGACCAATGTCATGTTCTCTTCGAAAACGATTTCGAAAAACATCTAAATAATCTCGAATTATGTATAAAATATGATATACTTTGAAGCTTATTCAAAAAGAATATCGAAAAACAACACAAATCATTGAAAATAATAAAAAATAAAAACTATGTTTAACAAAAAATATTTCAGTTCTTCATGGATTTGTAATATTATCGCCCGATTTTGACCGACCTGTTAAGATTTAGCAACTCATATTAAGAAATCGGGACGGATATTTATTTTTCGATCACTACTGTTGGCCACAAAAACAACATTTCTCGGATGTTTTTTTTTTTTTTTTAATTTTTTAGGCCTTTACTGGGAGAAAATCTCTAGTAAATCATTTGTTTTGTATTGAATCTCGCCGAGTTTGTCGTAAGATCGGGTTAAGAATTAAGATTTCAAACATAGTGAATAACAAAAGAAGCGTCGACATCAAACAAAAAGATTGGCTTACATCACTCAAGGAGTTTATCTCTATTTACAGTCATGTTAATATGTATCATTGACATGTTTTATATTTGATTTTGGCTACTCTAAAAATTTAAGTGGACTTTTAATTTGGGCTTTTTATTATCATTCAATCAATATATTTCTTTATGGCCCAAAAATTGCCATTTTGTTCAAATATCTTAAATATTTGGCACATATCATTATTTATCAACCAAATACAATTATTTATTTTGTAATATTTTGTTGGTATTTTTTTAGTATTTTTTTAAAAATTTTCTATATGATCTATAGTACAAAAAACAATAATTATTTAAAAAAATAAAACCATTATATGTCTTAATTTGAAGATAGTGATTTGTAGTGATGGAGATTCTGTTGATAGAAGAACCACAAACGTTGTATATAAAGAATTCTTTAACAATATTTAATTATTCTTTTTTAGAACATTTTTCCAGTGATTATATTATGATTTTTACTATTGCTTATATCTTTTTATTATTTTTTGTTCTATTATATTACATTCCGTGCAAATGCACGGGTTTAAAACTAGTTAAAAATAAAAATTGCTTTAAATAAACTAAAGTAAATTCTTACCTTTATATTAAATGTAAAAACAAAAAATGCAATAAATAAATAAATAATGTGAAATAATTTAAATGCAAATAAATGAAATAAAATAAAATAAAAATATAATATTTCTTATGATTTAATAATAGACACAATAAATACATAAAGATTGTTTATCTTATTTAAATATTGCAAATAATATATAAATGAAACATATTTCAAACATTTATTATAAATTATGAATTAAATAATTTAAAACTTAAAATATATATTTATTACATGTAACATAACAATTTTCATTTTTTATTATATTATAAAATAAATTATGAATAAGCATTATTTTATTTTAACAACTTTATTTTTTTATTTATTTATATATTTACTTTATTTCAATTTTATTTTTTTTACTTGTATTTATCAAATTTTATTGTATTGTATTGTATTTTAAAATTTTTAATTACATGCACTTTCAAAATATAGGGAAAAAACATGCGTTTTTCGAATAAATACTGGAGAAATTTACCCAATAAGTTAAATTACAAAGTGTGAGTGACACACTTGGGTTTAGCATATTCACGATCAGAGCTGTAAACGAGCCAAGCAGATCGCGAGCGCTCGGGTCAAAGTTCGACTCGAGCTAGAGTTTGAGCAAACTCGAGTCGACCTCGAGCGGCTTGAGCACGAACTCGAGTCTAACTCGTGCCCATATTTTGTATTGTCGAGCGACTTGAGATATATATTGAATTACTGAAATACTCCTTATATATATTACAATATTACATCATATGTGCTTAATGATAATTTTATTGTTCCACTTAAAACCTTTTGAGCCAAACTCGGGCATTCTAATTCGAGTCGAGCTCGAGCAACAAAAAAAAAAAGAGAAAAAAAAAAAACAAAATCCTACTCAATAGGGCTAATGCTCGACACGGCTTGGCTCGACTCAATTCATTTGCAGTGCTATTCACAACAATATTAAGGTAGAGTTGGATATATTAATATGGAAATTGAAAATTAAATATTTTTCTTACATAAATGATTAATATCCCTCTTTTCAAAATTCATGTCTACAAAATAGGTTAAAGGATAATTATATTAATTTTATAAGGAATAATAATTACTAATTCTGGTTGGTTTGGCTTCAAAATTCAAACTAGAGAGGGGGCAAAAAAGGTCAGAACTAGTTTTACCCTCTTAACCCAACCAATCCGAATCCGACACGTCAGTAAACTCCTGCAATACCACAGTAAATGTCACCCCGAATTTCCCATTATACCCCTGAGCTGCGAAATTCACTAAAAAATTCGTCCACTCTGCTTCAAATTCTTTCCTTTTCTTTCTAACCTTTCGAATTAAGAAAGCAAATTTGGCAGTTTTTTTCGCCTAAACACATTGAAACGAAAAACACATACACACACACACTTCTTCTTTCTCTCTCTACTGGACAAGTCCTTCTCGATTCTCTCTCTACCTGTATGTGCGTTCTTTGCGTGTTCGGAGGAATTTAGACGAGCTTAGAGGCAGAAGCTTTGAGGTTGTGGCGCTGTTGCTGTGGAGCTTGAAGTGTTTGTTGGTGTTAGGGTTATGAAGGAAACCGTGGCCCTTCTTCCATTGGGGTTGAGTTGAGGGGGGAATCAAAAGGTGAGGGTTTCGTCACCGAATGGAGGGAGGTAGCGTCTCTACACTTATTTCTTCTGGTACTCTTCATTTCCTCTGTATTTCCCCTTTTTTTTTT